AAAAAAAAAAAAAAATGTGAAAACACAATCCTCTTTTGAACCCTGAACTGAGGTAATTCTGTAGTTGCTTCACGCTGCCTCCAAGTGGTAGCCTATGTATGCACACCACACTGCTACGTTGTGACATGTGGACACTGTGCATCAAAAGCTGCTCATAACCAGAAGCACTTTGTATACCACCACCTTTCTACGTAAGGGTTCCCAAGAAAAACTCCTGGTAGAGTCCCCTAGACAACAGTAGGACATCATTAACACACAGCACAGGTTGAGTTCTCAATGTGGTTCTAAGACAGTCCCCTGAAGGTTCTTATTCCATCAATGTAAGTAGAGAGACACTGGGACCCCTGCTCAGGAAGTACAGAACAGCACCACTGAACACCTTGCCCTCCCTGCCACACTGTTCCACCTGAGTCAAAGCTAGAATCCCAAGAAAGGGAGGAAGAGGGTTCCTGATCTTCAAGGTCATCCTGAGAGATAACCAGACCACTTGACCCTGGTCTAAATACCTTCAAGGATCAGTTTTCTGAGTCTGATTCAAGTAGACAAGCCTGGATCCTAACAAGCTCCCCACAAGCACTCTTGGCCTTCTTTCTTCTGAAAAGCTCCCAGGACACCAGTGGATAATTTTCATCCCCAACCAAATTTGCCAGTCTCTAAAGCAGTGGTTCTCAACTTTCCTAATGCTTCAACCCCTTTTATAAAATTCCTCATGTGTGGTGACCCCAAACATAAAATTATTCTCCTTGCTACTCCATAACTATAATTGTTCTACTGTTATGAATCATAATGTAAATATCTGATATGTGACCCCTGTTGGGGTTGCAACCCACAGGTTGAGAACCGCTGCCCTAAAGCAAAGTGCTACCAACAGGGCCACTAAATGCAACATTACTAGAGTATAAATGAATTTTCCACTTCATTCAGTGTAAAACATTCTTTGTGTCCTATAGTATACTGGTTTTCTCACTGTGGGAAAGTGTGGAGGGTCTTTGCAGGTTTTACAAGCAGGCATCCACAAGGAGACGAGAATGAAAATTCAGCCTGATTTTTGGTACTGGTGCTGGGCCAAGACTTTTAGAATCTGACTACCAGTTCATTCTTGTTGTTGTTTTTTTTTTTTTTAATTCATTATGTATACAGTGTTCTGCCTACATGCCAGAAGAGGGCACCAGATCTCATTATAGATGGTTGTGAGCCACCATATGGTTGCTGGGAATTGAACTCAGGACCTCTGGAAGAGCAGCCAGTGCTCTTAACCTCTTGAGCCATCTCTCCAGCCCCGACCACCAGTTCATTTACTTCAGCTATATTTAAGCACAGCACAATTTTGGAAACAAGTTTTTTGATAACAACTAACTTGGCCCTGTGATTACCACAAAGCTTAAGACATATTTATATTGAAGCTCTTTACAAAATACATCCCTAAGATAAGGTTTCTTATTGACTTAGAAGCAATGCTCAAGATAAGGGTCTAGGGATAATGACATAATGCCCATGGGAGTCAGGATTTGGTCTGACCCTAAGATAACATAGAAGTCACTTAGGCTGTTGTAAAGTACAAAAGACATCTCTCATAAGAATGGGTTTTATGTTGAGGCCTTTCTTCCAGAAAACAAGGACTTGGTTGT